TCTAAGGATTTTACTGTGTTTTGTTTCCAGTAAGAGGGAAGCCATCTTTTGCACTCCCTGGGATGTCGATCAACAGGACCGACATGCATCTTTAAGATGCCGGCTTAGCTGCTCATGCGCAACGCGAGACTCTCTTGCGGCGGAGGAAGAAGAAGTATGTATGTATGTATGTATGTATGTATGTATGTATGTATGCATGTATGTGTCTGTGTATGTACATATACAAAGGCTAATGCTTACATAAGTATATATATATATATATTCACATGTATATACATATCTATGTGTATACATATATATATATATGTAGAAGTATATGTATATATACATGTGTAACATCATCTGTAACCGAAGCATCACCGGTCAGGCTCCGATGGTGCGACTGGTTGAGTCCATCGAGAACGGCCCAGAGGCAAGCGGCGGAGCAGTGGTCTGTTTTGTTCTGGCCTGGTCCGCTGTGGTTTAGTGTTGTACAGTATGGCAGATCATAGTAAAACATGATGTGCTGTGGTATGTGGTATAGTATTGGTATATAGCATAGCACTCATTACAAAGAATAGCATACCTAGTATAGTGTCGCATAGTATCGTACAATATCGTGTAGTAGAACAAAGCAGAGTAGTGCAGAGCCGAATAGTGCATTCTATGGGGATGTTCTTTTCGCAAGCATGTGCGCGTTGCGTTCCGGAAGGGGGGCACTTCTTGGTTTGGTGCCTGTCTCTCTTGCCGAGGCCCTCGTGCGGCTGAGCGTCCCAGACGGTCAGGCTGACGATGTGATGCTTCCGGTGACAGTTCGAGATGTGCACGAAACTATGCTGCACGTCACTTTGCTATACCATACTACACTATACCTCAAATCTACTATCTAGTATGCACTATATTCGACTTTATACTACTTGTAGGGTCGAGGGAATTGGTAAGCAAGTATTCTATCAAGTTACAGGTCTTATCATACGTGCCATAGCCTTTGTTAGGATGCCACTTAGAGTGCTTGTAACTCTACTTATTACCTACTTACCAAGTCCTCCGACCCTCCAAGTATGAACTATACACTCATACTTTAGTCGCTCATCCAGTTGGCGCCTTTACAAAACTAGGCCAGTCGAAGATCAGCTGTTTTGTCAGGCCTCTGCAGAGAACTTCGCTCTGTTTTCTCCGAAAACTAGGGTTTTGGGCTTTAGGGTTTGCGGTTTTGGGCTAGGATTTAGGGTTTAGGTCACCTTGATGCGACGAAAGCAGGTTCCGAGCTTCCAGAATATGAGCCGCAGAATCTCGTCGCGGCAAAACATCCAGAGATCCTCTGATGGTCATGTAGGGGTCGGAAGGTTAGGGGGTTTAGGGTTTAGGGTTTAGGACATGTATGGTCATAGTATAATTTACCCCAAAGCCCCGCTCTAAGTACTAAGAATTATGTAGGCCCGCATCTTCTAAATCCTGTTGTAGATCCCTTATAGGCCCCCGTGTTAACGATCCCCTTGCATGAAGACTGTTTAAGGCCCCAGCTGTACAATTTTATCTCTTCTTCCGGGGTGGAGTGGTATAAGCCTCGGAAGGCTCCAGGCTCCCTGCCGGAAGGATGCTACGTCGAGTTCCTTGGCCGTGAGAGTGGGGGAACTTCGAAGATAGTATACATATGTATGTATGTGTTTATGAGTGCATGCATGCATGCATGCATGTGTGTATGTATGTGCATATCTATATACATATATATACATATATATATATATGTGTGTGTATAATTTCTGTTTATGTATATGTATATGGTTCAATATGGCATATTATCGACGCTGCTATAGTGTACTGAAATATACTGATGCCCTCCGTGCCAGAGGGGTGAAGTGCAGACTACTTTGCAGCTCAGGAGGAATGGCTAGTAAGCTCGTGCATTCTGAGGTGACATTGTTGCTTTCTGAAAACCGTCGTCGTTGTTTCGGTACTTCTGTACTTACAACCACCACAGTATATTTGAGGCCTCGTTGTTGCAAATATCGCGAGACATGTACCAGAGTTCTAATTCTCGACCTTCAACAGCCAAAGATCCTTCGGTCATCCGCGACCCCAGTGGCACCCAGCATGATCGCATGTTATCACTGACGTGGATGGACTCTGGAGAATCGGGTCATCAGGCAGGCAGTGTGAATTTCCCACTATGTTGGCTCAATTGGCACTGGAGTGAGTTGTGTCTTATTACCAGGATGCCTAAACCCCCAGAATTAAAACCCTAAAGCTTCCAACGCCCTAAACTCCGAACCCGTAAGATCCTGTTGAGTCAGATATCTGCATATAGCATAGCAAACATAGTATTACTGTCTAGTATAGTATAGTAAAGGGCGGTATATAGTATAGTGTAGTAACTTGTGGTAGACCATACCATACCACCATTACCATATTAACATACTGTCTAGTATACTTCAATCAAATGTGCTGCCAAGCAGCGTCTCCCTCCACCTGATCAGGTTCTCCGACGTCCAGGGCTGTGAGCTTTGGCCGCAACGAACCGATGATACTATGAGTACATGCATATATATATATATATATAGAGGGAGACCATCTTTGAGGGTGGTACCAGATATATATGCACATGTATATATATATATATATATTTATATTTATTTATATCTATATCTAATACGTACATACGTACAGACGGACTGACAGACTGTCAAACACACTGACGGACGCACACAGGTGTGTGCGCGCAACCTGCTAAGTACTTATGCAAATACACATATACATGCATAGACACATACTGAGGGTTAGCTTCATGCAGCATGTCTGTTGGTGTGATCATCTGACTGTGTGAGTAGCCAGCGCGATGGTGAGCATGGCCAGTGGCCGTGAGAGCCAAGCCCTGGTTTTCTTCGTTCTGAAGCGGTCTGACTAATTTATAAATGATATCACCTTCTAGTTCCGAAACTTTTTTCCAGGTCTTGAACACTTTATACTTGGCTGCTATTCCCAGTTTTAACATCTGTATGCATGTGGAATATATCTGTGTATCTGTATGTATAGCTATATGTAAATTTGCACGTATATGTATGTGTATGTGTATATATATATATATACACATGCATAACGTTTTATATATGGATATGCATATACATACATATATGTGTACAAATACAAACATGTTCTAAATAAACACATACAGATATGTACACAGGTATTCTCACACACACGTACATCCATGCCAGTATCTGTCAGTATACAGACAGGCATGTACGTATATGTATGTATCTATATATATATATATATACACACACACACCCTACAGGTCATCCGAGGTCGGAGGGCTATCATCTAGCCATGAACAGAGCTTGATTTGAAGCTCCCAGCTTCCAAGCCCAGGACGGGATCTCGACCCACCAGGAGCGGACGGGGGCTCGGGGTTGAAGGGATTGGGCTTTAATAGGGGCCTTAAGAATTACCTCTATGATTTTTGGGGTTCCTTATTATAACTATAGTACCATTTACCCCGAAACCCTATTCAAATTATTCAGGCCCCTATTTTCGGCCTGAGGGCCTGTAGGCTTTGCTTCAGCTGCCTCTCAGAGTGAGCATCTTTGGAAGTTGAAGGAAGCTGGTCGGTTTGGGCTGTGGGAGGATGTCCAGACATCCTACTTTCCTACAGCATTAGCCTCCTAGAAGATGCCGTGAGCCTCGTGTCATGTGCTATGAAAAGCCGTGAGAGGAGCCCTCCCCCTGCGGTGAGCATGTCACAGCATGGCTACTTGGAAGGCAGTTTCAAGCTGCAGAAAGCTGCAGAAAGCCTCTAGGGGGGGATGAGTTCCGGGGCGGCGCGTACCAATCCCTGGACCTGAAATCGATCGTCCGATGTCGCGTGGAGTTCAGACCATGTGTTCAAGCTCGTTACATGGTCTTGAGATCTCTTTCGCAGAGCAACGGCACCACACAAAGAGTTTTTCGCGGAAGATTAAACTTGAAACATGAAAGTTTGCATCCTATCAGCGTCGATGTTACACGCACCGTCTTACTCAGAGCTCCTTTCCACAGGAAGAAGGCCTTAAAGAAATAGGGGCAACAAGCAGTAGTGGTATGCCTTGTAGTTGCTCTAATATCCTAAATCATACTCGTGCACTTCTAGAAATACTATTTATAGGAGGAACCTTATTGAAAGTGTTATGGCCTCTCTACTAACTCCTATACCCCAACCATGGGGACTCCTGCGTGCGAAATCTCAGGAAGATCTCTTCGAAGTCGGATGATCCAGTGGGAGGCTGAGGAAGTTCAATGCTTCGGGTTCATTCAGCGTCTTTGGGGGGTTAGGGTTTGGGGTTTAGGGTTTAGGGTTCCGCGTCTTCTGCAGAGTTCGATTTGTTTCAGGGGAGGCTCTTAGAAAGCTCGTTCGGGGTTGTTAGTAACGAGTCACCTTTCGAGAATCCGCCATACCCCCGCTAACCACCCAATTGCCCAAAAACCTACCCGTTTTGGGGCATGAGCAAAGACGAGCTGAGCCCAATTCTTCTCGGGTATGGTCCTTGCGAAGGAAGCCCCGGATGCCTTTGAAGCTATCCAGGTGTACAGTGAAAGGGTGATTCGATTGCTGCTCTTATGTCTTATCCCACGAGGTGAACTCCATCCGAATTGGGGACACGTCGAACTTCCCTCCCTACGTCTCGGGCGGCCTCGTCACGGAGAAGAAGGCCAGGGGAGTCCACACAAGTGCAGACAGCTTCGGGCTGGAGCTTTCCAAGCTTTTCGATGAGTTGAGGTTGGCGTGCCCTATCCCTTCAAGTCCCTGGCGGAGACCCTGAAGGACCAATCCGTGGGCCGCTTGAAGCCTCGGGTTCACAGCTTGGGTTCGGCTCAGATGGGGGCCGGACTCGCGCGGGCCTTCGCAATTGCTCATGGCGTCTGAGGCTTTGCGCGTGTTCGATAGATCGAAGATGCCCTGAACCCTGAACCTTCCATCCTAGTTAGCCCTAAACCCTAAACCCCAAACCCCTAAACCCTAAACCCTAAACCCTAAACCCCTAAACCCTAAACCCTAAAGCCTGAATGGCAGGACCCTGGCATGCCGTTTGACAGCATGGCTGCACGGCTGCACTGTTGGGTCTGATCAGCAACCTGTGGGCCACCTCGGGCGCCTTCGTGCCGAAGTGTCATCCGTCATGCCGAAATTCCAAAATCAGGGTCGGAATCATTTCTGGCAGCGTCCCCCCCCCTAGTCGCTGATCTAATTATAGTATAGCACACCCCCAAGAAAAGCATGGCAAAGCCATGTTCTAATTACTGAGGCCCCTATATTGCTTTAGATGAGCGCTTATGATCAACCTTTTGTAACCCTTGTGGCCCATGGAGGCCCGTAGGTCCTCAGCTCCCAGAGAGGGAGGGAGACCGAGACCCGCAGGAGGATCTAAAAAGGTAGATGGCCTAATCTGGAATCCTATACGACCAAAGGGCACTTTATAGCAACCCCCTTAAGGGATCTAGTTTTTGGATCCTCCCAGGGCTCTGGGTTGGGTCAGCCTAGGTTGGGACGGACATGATCAACTTCGGCCATAACCTCGGCTCGGCGCGATTGGCCACGGCTTTCCGGGCCGAAGAGAACAGGGTACCTCTGAAGAAGGACCTTTTTTCAAGATTCTTTATTTGGGTTTCGGAGTTGAAGCAGTTTCCTCTGAGGGGTACTATACGTTAAAGGCTACTAGAATCTAGAAGGCTCTGCATAGAGGTGTCCATGAGGGTTCCTGACAGGTAAGGCTACTGTCATGGTAACTATCAGGATGGTTCAGTTCTTTGACAGTCCAGGAAATCACGCCTGGGATATAGCGTACTGTTTAGACTGATCCTTCCAAAGCCCTGGCACACGAGGCTCCGAACTCCAAACGCACGTGCTGCTCTACGCAGCTTTGACGGTGGAAGTACCACCCTTGGTGGGTTCTTTGGGATGTGTTTGTGATCCCTGGGTTGAGGGATGTTGAGGGCATTTTGGCAGTACCTTCATTCAGAGTTGCACGGGCTACTGCAACAGGTGGGTGCGGATCTTCAGCCAGTGCTGCACATGCTCTGCACACCGACGATGGCCTTGAGTTGTCCTCTTTGCGTCTTGCTTGCGCTGAACGCTTCGTCCGCAGCGCGCCGCTACCCAGCTCAAGGCCGCATTTGTTTACGAGCCGGGCTGCTCTTTAAAAACTGCCCTTTCGGACCTTCTGCTTTGCTGCCTCAAGCCAGGTGTAGGGTTCGGGACTCTTCCGAATGATTGACTCGGGAACCTGATTAAGAAATGCGTGGTTGTAGAGCCTCGAGCAAGGTGTACCACCCTTTTGGAGAAGTGACAGGCGGATTCTGCCTCCGGGGCGCTTGGTTGTGCTTCTTGCAAGAAGCGCCAGGCACAACATCATTCTATCACGCACTAGAAGCTTAGGGTGCTTTCCCCGATTTTGTTTCACGATTAGGGGCTGGAATCGGCCCAAATTCGCATAGCGACCTCCTCGTTGAGGCATCCCTGACCTGTTTGAATCGAGCTTTTTTTGAGAATATTATGATCAGGGTTACTGGACTGCTCGCAACACCTGTAGTCTCCATTGATGGTTCTATTCAAAACGAGGTGACCAAAGAAGGAACTACGATGGATACTATCGGCAATGCAAGGTATCTACCTGCTGTGAGTCTTTCGCCCTGTCCCTGAAGCCTCTTGCTGCAGGGCAGTCTTCTTCGGACGATGGGTTCGTGAGCACCCGTTTTACAGGCTAAATCTTGGGCGCAGTAGCCACATTCACGACATCCTTGCTTACAGCTGCTGATTGTTGTACTTCAAGCCAGCTGCTGCAAACGCTTTGATGGACATCGTCGCTTTGGCGTGAAGAAGTGCTGGTTCTCATGGTCTGTCCTCTCCCTGCCTCCCCTTCCAGTATGCTCTTGATACGTCTAAGCACACGTGACTGTCAATGAATAGAGGCACTAGTCCTCATCCTCGTCACTATAGCAGTGAACCACACAAGCCAGGTGCCTTCCTCGCATCATGGCTTCCGACCCTCCGTGAGCGGCTGAGCGGTCGAGTCTTAACAATTTTGTTGCTCTGGCTTGCAAAACGGCAGTAGGCCTCAAGTGTGCGGCCTGCAATCTGAGTAGCGGACTGGCAACCTTCAGCCGATTACTCCTCCGACGACTACTAAGACTACTAAGACGACTACTACTACGACTACGACTACGACTACGACTACTACGACTACTACTACTACTACTACTACTACTACTACTACTACTGCTACTCCTACGGCTACTCCCGTTGCTACTGCTTCTGCCACTGCTACTGCTGCTGCTACAACTCCTCCTGCTGCTGCTGTAGCGCTAGTTGTGGGAGAGTGGTAGTGCTAGAAGTAGAAGTAGGCAACATTCAGTCAGCATCCATTGCAGCGAATGCTAAGCGCAAGTAGGCGTCAGAGTACAAAATGGCTTTCACCGACAGGAATTTTGGGGGTTTCCGAAAATAGGGGACCCTAATATAGTACCCCAAATAATAGGATCCTTATTATAAGGACCCCAAAATAAGGTGCCCAAATTTTCGGAAAGTCCCTAATACTGCGGGAAGTACCGTCGCAGGCCGATGCCTTTCTTCGTTCGGGAGAAGGAGTTTTTGAAGCTCTACGGCCGCGCGCTTGGGGAATCGTCGTCTTGAGAAGTGATTGAGGGGTTCAGGTATACTAGGTATACCTTGAGGTGCCGAGTGTGTCATAGTTGCTTTGCATGATCCTGCCACTGTAACTTAATGTTGCGTTTTTCTTTTTTCTGTGGGCCGCATGGTCAAGGCAGGGGTCTTGGCTAACAAAGATTTTGAATAGCAGGGCTGGTGGGCGACCAGATTGCGGAGTGTTTCGGTCAAGTCTAAGTCTAGACCTTTGCCTTTTTATCCTTGCTGACCTTCGGGCGGTGACACCTCTTACGCCTAGCCTTGGGCTCAGTTGGTTTCGACTGGTCGGACACGACGATTCCCATGTTCTTCATTGCAGTATTGTGGGAGCTGCGCCTGGCAGGCTTTGGTACGTCGCAGATTGAGGAAGCACAGGCCTGGATGTAGTTCGCATTTCTTGTTATTCAAAAGGCTAATAAAGTATATGAACAGTAATTAGTCTATGACAATCTTTGCTTGAATGTGGAAGAGAGCAAGATGGGTCGGGCTGAGGTTCTCGGGCTGAGGGACTTCGAGGGCTCAAATAGCACCGTGTTTTTATTGCAGATGATTATTCCTGAATGCTGCTTCTGTGCAAATGCGGAGCTGGCAGTGTGGACCTGAAAGCAGCCGAGCGATAAGTGCAGCAGATGTTGTTTTAGCCTGATAGACAACACCTGGATCGTCAAATCGCTTGAAGCTCTCTGCGTCGAAGACAAAGATGAAAGTAGTTATACTACTCAGAGCAAGAGCAGAAGAACCTGCGGAGGTGTAAGTGGTGTTGGTCTGTGTTGGTGGCGGTGGGTAACCCGATACAACCCGTCCTCATCATCCTTCTGCTTCGCCTCGTGGTTTGTGTGCCTTAGGCCTTAAACTGTGAGCCCTAAGCATTGTTTTTTTTTTTTTAACCGGATGTCACTGTAATATAGGGGCCTAAGCAATTACTATTTTTTGGGGGGTTCTTATTATAAGTATAGTATCATGGGCCCCGACCGTATTCCGATTATTAAGGCCCCTGTAGTCTGCCGAAATATCAGGCACCGCCTTTCCCTCTCGCGCTGCCCAAGGCACAGAGCACAGGAATGCCCTGTAAGTGAGGAATAAGCCTTTTAGGGTTTAGGGTTTAGGGTTTAGGGTAAGGAATAAGCCTTTTAGGGTTCCGCAAGGGGATCTATAAAGGCTTTCTGTAGGGTTTTTGAGGGGGGTTGCGAAAACGAGACCAGGAGTCTTCCATAGGGTTTAGGGTTTACCCAGGGTTTTGGATGTGCTTGTTTTTGTCATCCCTATCTTAACCCCAACGGCTTACCTCTAGCCCCAGGAAACTGGACAAGCCTTGACCTACCCTTTTGTAGGTTCTTACTGTAAGCCCTGGCAGGCCCCAGCATAGAATATATATATATATGGAGCCTACAAAAAAGTAGGTGTTGGTAATTCAAGGGATATGTTTCTTTGGGAGGATGCCTTGGTTTGGGTTCGCTTTTTAGTTTCTGGCCGTGGGGCGAAAGGGGTTAGTGTTCAGGGTTGGAGAGTCCGGCGTGGCATCCACATGAGAGTCTGGCTTCCCCACAAACTGGAGTTTAGAACCACCTTGGCCTTGCAATAGAACCCGCAGAAAGTACAACTGAGCCTCCTTGCATGGGAACCGCTAGGCAGGGATTCGCTGAACAGATCCGTTGATTTCCCAGCCGTTGGGTTGCATGAGCCATGCCACTCCGACGGACTAGCTGCTGGTGATGGGCGTTGGGCCGAGACACCCCGCCAAACCCAACCAGCTCTTTAAATCTAAAGTCTCCGAACGGGCGCCGCATTTTAAGGCCCTATCGCCTAAACCTGTAAATGCTTGACACGCCTCAGTCCTGAAACCTTAGAGCCCCAAACCCTAGAACCGCACACCCTGGAGCCCTCAACCCCAGAATCCTAGGCCTGAAGCGCAAAAGTCCCCCAACCTCGACCCCAAAAGTATGTAGAATAATAGCCTTTCAGAGGTGTTGGGCCATTTTTGTTTACGTACTTTCTGGGGCTTAGGGAAGAGCTCCGATCCCGAGGCGGCGTCCTGGTGTCCTTCGGGCATCGCGCTGGCCATGGTTTGGAGCTCATCTGAAAACACAAAAATTTCCGAACCATAATAACTAGTAATAATCATAATAGCAATACTAATCATAGTAGGAAAAATAGTATATTATTAGTCATAATAAAAGTTGCAATAGTAGTACAAGAAGTAATAATCATAGTAACGATAAGCGGGTGTTATTGGTTGTGTGGCTGCAGGGGTATTGCTTAGGGTTTAGGGTTTAAACAGTTTAGGCTTCATGTGCCTGGAAGGCTTCCAAGCTTGGAATGTTTAGGGCTTGGGATTTAGGGCTTGGGATGTGTATTTGTTTTTGAGAGGGGCGGCAGGTTCAGGGTTTCGGGTCTGTTACGGTCTCGAGTGTTTTTTCGAACTGAAGTTTCAGGGCTTCTGGATCCGCTTGGCCTTACTTGTTCAAGCTTCACCTCAATTGGGCTGAACAACTCAGAATCTTCACAGATAATATGGAATCATGGGGTTTTGCAATGGCATAAACCATGGTTGACGTTTGGTGTGCATTTCGGTTTGAGGATTGATGCGAGTAATTACCCATAAAGCCAAAACCCGAAACCTGAACCCTTCAACCCAAAACCCAGTGCCCTCGAGAACCATACCTTCAACCCTACTTGTAAGCTCTCAACCCTGTATATACGCCGTAGACGAAACTGTGCTGGAACCTCGGAGGTTGATCCGGTTCAGGGACCCCGCGTCGCGGTCTTCGAATCGGAGAGTGGCACCAAACTGCTCGGGCCCCGAGGGGTGGTTTCCAGTTGAACCGTTTTCGCCATATGTATATGTATGTATATATAT